GTTGGTTGAAAATTTATCTGCCCAAGTTTTATACTTACATCAAATGAAAACAAATTGCATTGTTCTATTTCGCCACATGCAAATTGATGATGTGTATTGAGGTTCACTATTAGATGGCTGGAGGCAGTCCACAGGAAGCCTTGGACCATCTAGGTTTTGTGCTAGTTGGCACTCATCAGATAGGCGTATCTGCAACCTCGAACGAACTCATATCGCTTCTGAGATTCGAACCCGCGTCAATCAGTGCTGACTGCAGTCAGAGACATTACCACTGAGCTATTCAGTTTCACGATTGACCTCCCATAGGACTGTATTGGATATTTAGATTGGACACTAGTCAGTAACTAATGTAATGAGTGTGCCTAGGCTTATCCTCGGTGTAGACTGAATTCTATCAGTCGAGTTAACAATGTGGCCCTCATGCTAGGTGGCTCTCCATCACGGTGCACTGTGCATTGTTGGTAGTATTAGACAACTGAAATAGTGTCATCACTGATTGCGAATTGGAGAGAATCAAAGAGTAAACTGTTTTGCTAACAACATAGTAAGTCACAGGCTTCGTGTTTAACATTATCTCTATCACACTGGAAGTGGCCGGGTGAAATATGGTATCATTGAGTTTCTGCAATTGGCAGTGTGAGCATATATGAATGAATGAATCTTTGTTCATCGAATCTACACCCAACACATGCAATAGGAATGATTCATCACTCATTCCCGAAATATGGAAAATATTACTACCAATCAAATCAAGTGAAAAACAACGGAATTATATAAATGAATTTAGGAAGTCGTGTGATTACCTTGATATGATTATGAGCAATAAATTGTGCTCAAAACGTCATCAGTAAATATTACTGTATAACACTGTGAGACTCTATCAAAATAAAAATTTACCCATAGTGGAGTGTGAGCATATAATTGTTTCCTATAACTTCTAGTCCTCTATCTGATGAGATGCGCGGCGTTGAGAGTTGAGAATAGAGGGTGTGTTGAGAGTCAGACGAAGTGGATTTAGACCATTTCTCATATGAGTTTAGGTGTCTGTCAACTACAGTAGTAACAAGCTGACTTGGTGGCACACCACTTACCACACTGACAACCTTTAATACTCTTTGCAGTATGCCATACTCCTTTTTGAGTAGCCTAGCAAAGGCTGAGGTGGAGCAGTAAAGTGCAGTAGGTAAGTTGGAAGAGTTAACAAGCTGTAAAAGTAGGAATTCAGTGATACCTACCTGACTGTCATAACGTCTTAATGTAGTAGGTTGGAGGGAACATTTTCTTAGAAATCAACAATATATGGAATGACCAAGAAGGGTAGGAGGATAGAACTACTCCAAGCTATTTAATGCTTGACTGAGTTTCTATTCCAGTGCTCTCTGTGCTACGTGCGTCTTGTGAACGGCCCAGTTCTTGCTGACCACGTTTATGCCTAAAGGTGAAGTTCATTGATATACAATTTGTGGGATTTAAGGTAAGACTATTTAACTGCTACCACTGACTGATTTCCTACAGAAGGCTACTCAGTGTAGAACAGTTAAATCATCATCATAAGCAACGAAGTTGATTTCTCTCGAAATAAGTAAGAAATGTAAGAAGAAATAAAACAGAAAACATGAGAGAACAGCACCCTGAGGAACTCCAACTTCAATGAGTAAGGCAGAGAAGGATTTACCTTTGTAGACAGTAGACAGCTTTCTGTTCAAATGAATGGGAATGCAACCTGTTAACAGCCTGGGACTGGGTTTGTGTCATGGGAAGTTTATTTAACAAAAGACATCCGGGTACAGAGTGAAAAGCAGAAGTATAATCAAGGAAGTTATATCGGATATATTTAGTCCTTTCGACTAAGGAGGAAGCAGTATTTTGTTGTAAGATAGCAACGGCGTCTAAAGCACATCTGCCCCATTTATAAGCAAATTGTTTGGGATCAATAAAACTTTTCAAGGAAGGTTCAAATTCAGTAAAATTAATTTCCCCACTAATTTCAGAAAAGAAGAGGTAATTGCGATAGGTCTAAATTTACCATTCATACCAGAAAGTGATTTAGACACTGTGATAATTTTATTATCTTTCCATGCAACGGCTACAACATAATTGGAAGTAGAAGCATTGAAATTGTTTGTAAGAGGATGACATAAAAATATCAGCACATCTTCTGAGGTCAACAGCAGGTACACCATCACGACGATGGTTTTTTGGGAAGATTTCAGAGATTCGAGATGTTTCCTAACAATGATCACATAGTATCTCAATTACTTTTGATTTCAATGATGACATGTTATGCATTGAACATCAATGTGTTGCTATGCTTTGTGCCAGACGTACTAACCACTTGAAGCCACAGTTTGACACAGTGTGCATCTTTCTTACTTATGCCGAGGGAGATGTTTGAAAGTAATGCAGGTTCAGGTGCATCTTTTGTCCGGGAGTAGAACACTTGTCAATTACGCATATGGTCCGCGGTTTAATACTCGACTGACGCACTCCTAGACCTGGCTTAGCCTGTAGAAAAGCAGGTAAAGGAAGAAGGTTGGGCGTGAGACTAGGACTACTGCGCGAAAATGAAACTAATGGTACCGGAACTTCAGAGCTCAAGCTTGAATCCCTTATGTTCCACTAGGAACATAAGGATGTTATTGCACGTCGTATCTGTAAAGAGGATTTCAGGTGAATTGTCACCTGCGTAAACAAAATAGGGTGCACTTGATCAGTATTGGAGAAGCAAAAGCGCTTTCAGTTTTTGTTTACTAATTATATAGTGGGCCTTAATTTTTGGTAGTTCTATGCATCAAGATAAATCCAGTATCTCACATAATTTTCACATCTTACAATTGAAGTGTTCCAGGAGGAGCAATGCAACCATATTCAACGGAGATATGAATATGTGGAGTTCTGAACAACAAGATTGCACAGTTTTTGTCAGATGTTAAAAACGGAGACATTGTACATAACTTTTGTTTAAAACTACTTCATTGTAAAATATAAATAACTTTGGCGTACGAATGTAAATATGACGTGTTGTCCGTCACTTCGTCATCTCATTGTTTCCAACTGTCTGCTTGCTCTGCTAATATGTGTGTTGAATTCTTTGGAATTGGCTGGAATATCTTATCGTCGTCGAAATACTATTGAATAACTGGTAAAATCTTCCACAAATGGACACGACCTCAGCAGTGAATCGGATCTGTGAATTAAATCATTAATTAATAGCAAAAACAACAGGCAACAATCAGCATAAATGGAAGAAATCTGAAAGAAGCAACCTACTCTACCTGCCCACCTACCTGAGAAGCATCGTTTAAACTACAGGCGGATGGAACTGATGAAGATACTACGGCAGCGAGAATCGGAAAAGCAAGTCAAGCTCTCATTTTACTCAAGTTTGTGTGGAGATCGACGACACTCAGCATGAAAATGGAAATGAAATGCGGATTTTAAACTCTCATGTGAAGTCATTCAGTGCCGCTTAATATACGGATCGCAGATTTCACCAGGGAGTCACGAAGGGGAATTCGAACAAACTACACACCGTCATCAACAGCTGTCTTCACTCAATGCTACTCAAGATCAGATGGCCAGCAGGAATAGATCAGCAACACGGAATTCCGGCAATGAACGAACCCACCAGGAACAGATTCTGCAAGAAATATGCAGGTAGAAATGAGGTAGATTGGTCATAGTCTGAGAAAACAAACTATCAAGTGAGGGACATTACATGCCAGGCTATCGCTACAGTGGAACTTGAATGTGAAGTGACGAGTTAGTCGTCATTGCGAGGGTGGGGTGACATGGAGGTGGTGATGTGAAGATGAGATGAAAGTATGTCTTCAGACGTGGAACCAGATGAAAACGTAGATAGAGGAACAAACGCAATGGTTACGTTTGGCTGAAGCCCTATGTTCCTGTAGGAATTAATAGAAACAATAATAATAAAAATCATAATAATCAGTGGACTATAGCTGTATTTTCAAGAAACCACTAATTTTTATACCTCGATGTCTGTATTTCTATATAATATACTAACTCAATGTGCTTTCATTAACTCCAATTTCGTACTGTTATCGAGCTCATTGATAAGTCTCACAAAAATGTGTCTGAGAATGTTTCACTTTGCATAGTATATTCTCATTGGCTAATTCATATCACCTTCATGAAGAAGAATAACGAGAGCGTTTTACAACGCCTACAACTAGATCGCATGCAGACATGTACACGAAAACACACATAACAAGACGTATATATAAATACGCTTTGAAACAATCTTCACACCATACTAGCGTAGACTGAACATCATGTCAATTATCTATTTGTTCAGCTTCATATTACTCACATTTTCTTATTCCACTGTGAATTCATTAGTCCCGAAACCGACTACATACACGAAGGATGGAAATACCTGTCGCCTAAATGAAGAATTAACAATTGAACAAACATATTCATTTTGTTTCATACTGAACGATGCAGTGCAAGAGTTCAGAAAACGTCTTAAGAATATAACATCACCACACCTGCATAATAAACAAACTGATTGCAGTATTGACAAACTGACAATTTCCATCACTGATGAATGTAATGAACAAGGTGGTGATTTGTGGCCAAGTGAGAAGATGAATGAATCATGTAGGTTCACAACTTTCACACATAACTAACTCATTAACGAAGACAAAATTGTCATATCGAATGAGAAGATCGAAATTACATCTACTGAAGTATGGGGAACATTACATGCACTACAGACTGTCTTACAATTGGCGCACAGAAATGCATTCGGGACTGTGAGTCAATGACCTCATGATTATTCATGTATTGTCAACCTATTTCATCTAGTTAGTAATAAACGAATCTACAATCGAAGATTCACCCCAGTTCACTCACAGAGGATTTGTAGTTAACACTGCTGCTCATTTCATCAGTGTTGATGTGCTGGAGAATTTTCTTGTAAGTCTGCCTTCCATATTGTCTCTCTCTCATTTAACTTCACAATCCATCAGGATGCTATGGCCTTAGTGAAAATGAATGTATTTCATTGGCACATCACAGATGATAGTTCATTCCCGTACGAATCATCCACAGATCCTCAACTCTCGAAAATGGTATTTTCTTTTGTTGCATTTCACCTCATCATTATTCGTTCTACATAGGGTGCTTATCATCCAGTAGAGTTAGTCTATGGAAAAGTGCAAGTTGAGCAGTTATTGAATTATGCTCGTTCACGTGGAATACGTGTGGTGGTGGAATTCGATACTCCGAGTAAGTGAACAACATGCCATTCTGTGTTGTGTCATCTACCATCTTTGAAATTCTATCCTCATATTCAGTGATCCATGTTATTAGCGATCTCTTGTTTGTTTATTAATCTCTAAATGAGGCAATCTTTCATTCATTCATTCAAATCAAGGGGTTTAATGCTTTATTCTGCAATAATTATTTCATCTCTAAAGATCCTTCAATTTAGACATTTCTCAGTTATGTAATCTGGAATTACATGTGTTGAGTAGAAATGTTTGACTCATCCTCTGGCCTTTGCCAATAATTCTCAGTTAGACAGAAAATTTGCATGTGAGATAAAATCGACTCATTCTCTGTATTATTGATTTCAGGTCATACAGAATCATGGGAGAAGGGTCATCCTGGATTACGAACACAGTGTTATACTGAAGGTTTACCAAATGGAAGAACTGGTCCATTTGATCCTACAAATACGACCACAATGGAATTTCTGAAATCGTTTTTCAATGAAATTACTTCAGCATTTCCAGAGAGATTTATTCACTTGGGTGGTGATGATGTATCGTTTGAATGTTGGTGAGTAGTTTTCTGATCGTCTATTCATGAATGAATGTTGATCATGTCATAAGTTCATGGGTGTGCTGCGAAGGAACCATTCAGATATTGATGGTTTTCTTGAGTATTGAAATACGTACTGTCGTGCAATGGTTCAGTGAATGAGCAGGAGACACATCTTGGAATGCTGACCACATTGCAAACTTGACTGATAGAATTCAGTCTGCACGAAAAAAAGGAACTAGACATATCATTCTAGCTTCCATTGTCCTATCAAAGTTTATCGGTTCCTCAGAAATCAGTGAATTCATACAGACTCTCGGTAATGATCGGAAACCCCTGGTGGTGTTCAGTCTCAATGTCTTAGTACTTTTTAGTCAGGGTCAGGTATGTCACATTGGTAGATATTTTCCAATACACTGAAAATTCATGTTTGCTCTTATGAGTTACTGAAAAATCTCACCTCTTGATTGCCTGAATATGAATTGTGAAATGTGAGTATATTCTCAATTTTCAAAGTTGTTTAGCAGAACACCTTTCAGACACCACATTATATCTGTTAAAGCAGTATCAATCTTCACTTATATTTTTATCATGTGTGATGTCTAAAATAGACGACACACACATCTAAGTATAGTAGTCTACCAATTTGAATTATATTACTCATATATCGATGACACTTTCACTATATCTAAAAGTGTAAAGAAGACGAAATATGTTCCTTGTATTTTGAGAAACAACATATCGCCACTTGTTTGGTAAACTGTTGTGTATTGTAATAAAAATGCTATGTAAATTAGAGTAGAGCCAGAGATGGGGATCTAATTGAAAATAAATATTTCTTCACTGAATCTTTCTGTTTTTCGTTTCCGTTTAATCAGGCAATCAAATCCTGGGATTTTGGAATTCATGAGGACGCAGGGTTTCGGTGATGACTTTGGAAAACTCGAATCATATTATTTTGACCAACTTACTGCAGCTATTCAATCTGTTCAACAGGAAAGGGATTCTATCACACCAGTTGTTTGGGAGGACGCATTCGAGAATGGCTATCGTGTAGGTGGATCATCTTACTTTTTAGAATACTAAGAGTTTGTGGTTTTTGATAGATACTTTTGTGTTCCTTTTGATGATTAACTAGTCTCTGTAGATTGTTCATCACCTATATTAAGTAATTAGCAATGCGAATAGTTTAAATTATATTGCGTTTCATTATTATTATTATTTCCTTTTATTTAAAAAGGAATATAGGGCTTCAGCCGAAAGTCTCAATTGCGTTCGGTTCTGCGTCAACGTTCCCACCTGGCTCCACGTCTGTCCACATGCTTTCACCTTTTCTTGGCATGACCTCCTTCATTTTATCAAAACTTGCAATGACGACGAACTCGCCGTTTTTAATTCAAGTTTCACTTCAGCGATGATCTGGAGTGTGATGCTTCCCACTTGATAGTTTGTTTTCTCAGAGTATGGCCAATCCACCTCCATTTCTTCCTGCATATGTGTTGCACAATTGTTTCCTGCTGGGTTGGTTGGTTTGTTCATTGCCAGAGATCCGTTTTGCTGATCTCTTCTTGCCGGCCATCTTATCTTGAGTTGTATTGAGCGAAGACAGCTGGCTGTTGATGACGGTATGTAGTTTGTTCGAAGTGGCCTTCGTGACACTCTGGCCATACCTCTGATCCGTATAGTAGCATTGACTGACTTCAAATTGGAGTTTGAAATCCGGATGTTGTTTTTCATGCTGTTGACCTTCACTCAGACTTGAGTGAAATGAAAGCTTACCTTGCTTTTTTGGTCCTCGCTTTAATGAAATCCCCATGACTACCGTCTGCCTATAGTTGAAGCGAGGCTTCCCAGCTAAGTGGTAGTTAAAATAGGTTACTCTTTTCAGATTTCGCTCATTTATGCTGGCTGATTGTTGTCTGTTGGTCAGGAATCTTCGTCACCTACCTCTCTTTCCTCTATGTTCACCTGAAGGCCTATCATCTCTGGATGCTTCTTCCTCCAACTGTGTCCTTTGGCTCGCAAAAACAGTCCCTTCACACGAAACTCTAAGGATTGTTGGATCCATGCCTATTCGATTACTCTTAGTTCCCTTATTGTTAACATCTGCAGGATGAGAGCATTGAGAATCACAGAGTCATACGTCTCCTTCTACTGGACGAAGTGTTGAATAGGCTGCTTATATCGTCTTTATTTTGCACAGAACTGAGGACTTTAATGGTTCAAAGAGTACAAAAGATCTTTTCCATTTTATTGGGACGCGGAAGATGTTGAAAGCACTGAGTGTCATTCACTCCTGAGTAAAACATTAAATATCTTTGCTTTTTAAAAATATATATGTAAGTAAGTAAGAGAGAGAAGGGTGCCGATCTGCTCTATCTCCACTACATTGTCTTGAATTGAAATAACGTTGTCATCATATGTTTGAAAATGAACCAATCAAATTAAATTCAAAATCTATTTTTATGCTAATCAATTATCGAAATTTTCTTATTTAGCCGGAGGAGAGAAATACTGTGTTCCAAGTATGGAAGGATTGGATAAGGCAAGAGCGTGTCAAGAACATAACATCAGCTGGCTATCGAGTTATACTTTCATCATGTTTTCGTATCTTTGCCAATAATTATGTGGAGCATTGGTACCCATACTACGAATGTGATCCAAGAGACTTCTCAGGTAAGATCCTATCAGGTATGTGAATCATGTTTCTATTTTGAGTATTCTCTGTGACTTCTCACTTCATCTTTGTATCACATTACGGCTGTTAATAAAGTTGGACTGCAGTTAACTTCCCCACTATCTTAGCTGCATCCTGTTCTGCTCTAGTTAAAACTGTGAAGTAAAAACAAGAATGTAGATCGACGTATAGGCTTTCACTCGCTAGTGTGATTCATCGTCAAACTGAGAAGTATTACTTCTCTCTGTGCTTTGTAGCTTCAGAATCGACGTTGTTGTTTGTTGTCAAGAATCGCTAACCTGAATGACGTTCAACTTTATCTCTTTTCGTGGTTTGAGGCCAGCTAGTGAACAGACTGTGAACGATTGAGGAATTCAATAGAGACTCAAACTTCTTAGAAGTACACTGATATTGTCAGCTCATCAGTGAAACTATGACAAATCACTAATGATATTGACAATCTATACACCCTAATTATGATGATCTTGAGTGGAATGTTGTTCATAAGTGAGTACATCTGCCTGTATGGCCGTCATCCACTAATTTTTACTGCTGTATGGCTACTGAAACAAGTGACGTCACAATTTGCGATATTTTGTGATCCTTGGTGCATTTCACACTACACATCAATCACATAATAATTGTAAAGTTGATCAGTTCATGGTGAGAGCTGTCTGCAAGACAAAACTGTAGACAAAGACTGACCTTGTGGAACTCAACAACTAATCAAAGCAGACTTAGCGTGGGTAGATACAATTTGCTGATATATGACCAGACCACACACACACACAGATCAAATACTCAACTATACTAGCAACAATCCGGTTACTCATAAACGAAACTATGTGCAGACATTGTTTAAAAGAGCTCAGACACATTGTAGCACTCCAGAGCTGAAAGGAATGGAAGAAAAGTACCTACAAACGATCTTCAAAAAGAATGGTTATCCACAAAATTTCATCAAAAAAATGTTTAAAGTCGAATCAAAACACCAACAAGAAACCATCATCAAAGACCACAAGAAAATTCATTCTACCATACATGAGGACCATCTCTGAAATAGCAGCCAGAATACTGAAACCGTTGGATATAAATATAGCACACAAACCAGTAAAATCGCTTAATTCGATATTATGCAAACCAAAAGATCCAACAGAAAAAAGGGGATAAAATTAATACCATCTACAAAATAAATTGTATGAACTGTAACAAGCATTACATTGGCCAAAGTGGGCGTCCCCTTCGAATCAGAATCCAAGAACATAAATCAGCCGTAAAAAGACATGATATGTTTTCGTTAGTATCAATGCATGCAGACAACTATGGTCATCAGTTTGATTGGGATCACGTCAAAATCTTAAACAGAGGAAACACGAAAAGTGCCAGAGAATTCCTAGAAGCCTGGTACTCAAGCGAAAATGCGATTAACAAACACGTTAATATAGATGAAATATACCAATTAATAAAAAGTAAATCAGGTGACCAAAAAGTTTAAAATCCTAGCCAATAGAAAGTGGTCAATACATATGTGAAGATAGTAACCAGGAAACGCAATTGCATCACGCATGAAGAAATTTAAATCATTTCACTCTCTGCTAAATATGGCGCTGAAGATGTTGTCCTGAAGGA